ATGGTGTTGCAATTGCGTGGCAGTAAAACAGGGTGGTGTTGACCCACACATAACGTTGCGAACATGAGTTGAGTGTCTCCACTGCCAGAAGAACAAAAGAGCTCTTGAAATGAGCATGAGCTATGTAAAATGGCCTGACAGTAAGTCCGTAGAAAACGACGAACACATCAACACATCAGCCAACTGCAAACCAAACCGACAAAGAAGGCATGAGCAAAAGAACAAAGCTTTACATAAAGTTCATCACCAACTAAAGCTTGTATTTTTTCAAGAACAAACCATAGGTGCGAAATCGCCCAAGGTCGCAATAGAATATCAGCGTGACAACTTTGTACATCTTCACTCCTGGTAAAGGCACAGGCACATACAGTAATTGACACATACTGGTACGTTTCTAGAAAACACTTCAATGTATCCATAAAGCATTATGTAAATGGCCAAGCAAATGAAGTGCTAAGCAAATGCATGCTGAAGCCTAAATACACACAGTTTGTACACCATTCGCTACATGTATGCATATATATATATTATGTATATATATATATGCTATTCTATTTTCCTGATTGATCCTCTCTTCCGCTGCCATTTCTATTTCCCGCCCACTCATCATTTCTCCTTCCTTCCCTCCCTTCCATCGCTTCATGCTACGTCCTTGTGCTTTCCCTGCGCTTGTCTTCCCTTTTGCCTTGTGTCTTTCCTCCCACCTCCTCTTTATGTTGCCTTTTCACTGTCTAAAGATCATTCTTTTCCAAAACACACACCCACAAGCAACGCACACTCTCTAATGCTGTGTAAGCAGGTTATTTCAACCACAGTAGGCTCTAGGCTATACCATTGCGCGGCCATCTGTTCTCTACATTTTGGAGACAATTTCAACGTTTATCTTATCAAAATCTGTCAAAGACATAGCATTCTACTTGCCTCCAAATGCCCGGTCTCAAATGGTATCTTCTCAAACCTTTGCCTCGCAAAACCCGCCTTACTCAAACGAAACCCTAGCTGGCCGCAACTCCATACTTTATACATACTCTGGTTGCTCAACAAAGCGAAGGGTTCATGAGAAACTCAAGAGCAGCAGACAGCTAAATTGACGGGGTTTGGTGACGTTGACTCCAGTGATCAAGGTCCCATAACACCTCACATGGCTGTGTGTCTGTCTATTGCAATATGATTGATATCGTTAATGCTCACGCTGTGTTCAAATGTGTGACGTTTTCACAGCTAAAAGGGGTGTCTGTTGCTTTGGATGCCCAAATGCAGTGTCCAATTCTGCACATTGCTTTTCCTGAAGCTTCTGATGCCCGCATGGCTGCTTTCAAATTAGCCGACATTCTGCTACAAAGACAATGCGCGTGTCAAATATGAATTCGGCACCTGAAGGAAGGAAAGCAAAACCAAAGCACATTCACGACATATGCAAGCTTCTTTTGCGCACTAGTGCTTACGATATCCACTACGTACAGGTCCAAATGCTGTTACAGTTGGGGGAGGATCCAGTTCCAGATCTAATTCCAATCAGCCAGGCGGAGGGGGTTTTGGTTCCTGCTTGAATCAGCGAGTGGTCGGGGGTGCTTCCAGTTCCACTTCTACTTCCAAACAGTTTGGGATGAAGACCTAGTGACCTACTTAGTTCCAGTTTCGCAAAGGGTTGGATTGCAAGGTGCACAAGAAAGACTTTTGAATCTCTGCTGACAACGATGATGCGCGTTCAGTTCGCCTTACTTATTTAAACCACTTCCCTGTGTGCACAAGAGAATTTTCTGGCATTTTCTGGGTGCCAACTAGCCGGCTCAAAGTGAAGCATGATCCAGGAGTTGGGTGGTTCATGCTTTAACTTGCCTACCACAAAACCGCAATGGTATCAGTCATGTTGCTTCTGCCTGCTGCCCTTTTTAGCATTTCTGGATCCGTGCGTTTTGATAAATTTGTTCCGGCACACATTATGACACAAACTGCAAGGTTAAGGCAATTTGCTTGCATAATGGGTTTTCCTCCAACAGTTTCATTTGGTACTTTGTGCTGAGTACCAAAACGCCGGACCCAGGAGATGGAAGCAAACACACTTTCAGCCGCGCAGAGAGATATCTAGGGGGTTGCAAGACTGAGAGTCTTCGATCATTCCCAGGAAATGATGGAATAAATGCCTAGAAACCGTTTCGGATCCAAACATGAGGAATTCAAAAATTCTTTTGAAAGGCGCTGTTGGAAATGCTCCTTTCTACAGACCTTTCTTTGGGTGCGTGAAGCCCACCAGGCCTTTGGTGCCAAGATCAGGAATCGGAGCTAGCTAAGGTCATCACTCAGTCAACAAAGACCAACCAAACATCTACGACATCGGAGCTTGTCAACACAGACCGCAAAACATCTCTTACAACAACACATCGGATCTTGCAAAACCAGATCATTACTCAGGTCATCAACACAGACCGACCAAATACGTGTTACAATGACATGGGAGCGTGTAAAAACAGGTCATCAACAAAACCAACAAGAAAACACTTGATGTGTGGGAGGGCCAAGCTTTGAACATGCTTTGAAGAGTGAACTTCTTTGTAAAGACTCGACATGACATCTGATACATACGACAGTTCATGATGCAGTCTGAACGGATTGAAACCTTTCTGCTTGATTAGCAAGGTCTTCATACTCTCCAATACGCCAATGTTCCCTTGGTAAACAAACAAGATGGAACCCACAAACCCGCATGCAAACACACCCAAACAATTTTTGACACTTTTGTAGGAAACACTCCTGGGACACTTTTGTAGGACGCATTCAATTCAGAAACCTTTGTGGGACAGTCTTGCGCACTCTTGTGGGACACCTTGTATGGCACCTTGTAGGACACTCTTGTCGGACATTCTTGTGGGAAACTCTTGCGGACCACTCTTGTGGGACACTCTTGTTTGTCACTCTTGTGGGACACTCTTGTCCGATACTCTTGTGGGGCACTCTTGCGGAACACTCTTGTCGGACACTCTAGTGGGACACTCTTGTAGGACACTCTCATCCGACACTCTTGTCGGACAATCTTGTGGAACACTCTCGTGGGACAGTCTTGCGGGACACTCTCGTAAAACACTCTTGTGGGACACCCTTGCGGAACACTCTTGTAGGACACTCTTGTGGGACACTCTTGTAGGACACTCTTGTGGGACACTCTTGTCGGACACTCTTGTGGGACACTCTTGTAGGACACTCTGGTGGGACACTCTTG